CTCAAATCGAAAATCAAATGGAAACTCAAATTAAAACTCAAGATGTTCAAACTCAAGATGAATCTGGAATCAAAACCTCTCGAAATGAAGAAAACGAAGAGGCGGACATCAGCACCTCGAAATGTTGGTTTACACCTCAAAGTGATGACAACAAGTCCGATATGGATATTGTGGCTGAATGGTGCAGCATCTACGAGAATTTCAATTCTTGGCGCACGCAGAAGCAGGTAGTGATTTGTGAGAAGGTGGCAGCGTTCATTGCAAGTAAGAATCATGGAAATAGATCTGGTCGCGAGTGTGAAAAGAAAGTCAGTAACATTTTGGTCTATGTATGAAAATTGTTCTCTTCCCTGATTTTCTGTTTTGATATTTAGGTCAAATTGTTAGAGACTTGGTTCAGAACGGCTGACGGTTTGAGAAATGCGACTGGGGAGGGCAATCGTGAGGGTGAATCAGTGGTATTTACGGTCCCACAGGGGGATATCATGGCATTTAAATTGGCTAAGAGGCGAGGGGGTGGTAAGAAAGAAGATAATACTGGCAGCCTTCAAGGTATGTACAGGAACTGAGATTTCATGATTGTTTTCAACTCACTGACTGTATTCAAACAGTGAGAATGTTACGTATATGTCCTTGGTACGAAGAACTCGAGCCAGTAATTGGAGATCGACCGTCTGCCCGCCCGTTGGCCTTGAGGGATTCTTTAGGCAAGAATGACAAGCACAACTCAACATCTCTAACTGATATCGAACCAGAACGCTCCCCAACTGCGTCTGACAGCTCCTTGCCAAACGAAGCTTGGGAAGAGACTCCCTCTCGTTCACTCTCACGCCGCAACCTGTCGTTGGACCTGAGTCTTGAGGAGGACACTTCAACTTTGCAAAGTCCTAACACCACTGGCTCAAATGTTTTCCTCAAACGCGAGCCGTCATTTGGGAACCTGAAGATCAAAGACATTTCATCATCTACCAAAACTTCTACTAAGCGTCGTCGACTCAGCAGTAAAGATACCACCACGTCGGTTCACTCCAAACAGCAAGAGTCGCCTCAAGATCTTCTTGGAATCAACTCCCTCGTGAATCGGTTACCTACTAAAGAGGAACGAGAGGCTAGTGAGCACCGTGCTGCAGCTAATCAGGAGAAGATGACCTCCAGCATCACTAATGCAATGGCCCAAATTATCACCACGAATCGATCAAATGAATTGGCAACAAAGGAAAACCTCGCCTTTGCCGATTTCAAAATGAAGTATGATGAAATGAATATGAAGAATCGACTTGCACGCAGCCAGATGGTGATGGAGCTCATACGTGGAAAAATGGACCCCGCTGAAGCTGAAGCTTTGGCTTTGCGCCAATTACCTGACATTGAGGTTCCTCAGAGTACCAGCATTTCAAAGCAGACATCAGGAATCGAGTCATCTCAATTGCAATTCAACAACTGAAGTTAACTGTTTATAAAATTGCTAGTCGATTTTCAAGGTTGAAAACATCTCAAAAGCTTCTAATTCTTGTTTTTTTTTTTTTTTTCAAAAGATCGAAATGTTGTTAACAAAGATATCAAGTGTCAAATTCTTGTTTTTTTTTTTTCAAAAGATCGAAATCTTGTTAACAAAGATATCAAAAGTTTCCAAAAAACTCTTTCAATCCTCCAATTTCACCTCAAAAACTTTAACAAAGATTACCAAAATTGTGTTTCATCTTATGTTCAAATTTTCTCAAATAAAAAGTTGCGGTCCTCACTGCTTTGCAATAAAAATTCAAAGATTCTGATTTATTTGAATGAAAAAAACACAAAGGAATGTCTGAGTACAGAGTGATGAGATTCTTGAAATACATGTCAATGAACTGTAGAAACCAAACAGCTAATCAATCGAAAAGATATTGGTTAATAATTTTTTGCAACACAAAAACTACTGAATAAAGATTCACGACGCTGGCCACCACCCGAGGCAAAATTGGGAGTTATTTGATTTGTTTCCAAAGTTTCACCTGGAATATCAAACACGCCTCCTGAGACCATTCCATACATCGGTGTTCCTTCTGTTATGATGAAGTTATGTACAACAACACAAGCTCCAATCCACCTACATGCATACATAGCGTCCTTTGAGTTGTCGATACATAATCTCAATTCGTGAAGTGACCCAAAATGCATCTGTAGCATTCCGTTACAATGTTCCGATGCAATTCGTATCTTCGATATTGAGTTGTTGAAGTGATTTTGAGCCGTGGTAAGTGATTGATAACGTGATCTTTTGAAAACAGGCACTATATGTTCCGAAGAAGCATACCCTGAATCAGCTAGGATGTACTCGCCCTCTGAAAAGAACGAGGGCATATCCCGAAAGAACTGTGGTTTATAATGATTGTTATTGCACAAAAACATCAAATATGAAATTAGCAGTGTACTTCAGTAGACTTTAACAGTAGATAATTAAGAACTTACTTGAGTGGACTTTAACACGCGTTGGTCATGTGCGCTTCCACACCAACCGTGATGTGCATAAAGCACTTTTCGCTGATCATCACATATTATAAGGGAGTTCAAGGCATAAATCGATTTGCGAGTATAGTAATCTTCTTTATTTTTAGAGGGTGCTGTGGCCAAAGGAACCAACGTTCCGTCAATAAAGCCAACACAATCTTGAAAGAACGAGGTATGGCCAATTCTTTGCTTAATCGCTGATCGCTCATCTCCATTTGGCCATCGTACATATTCTGACTCGAGCTCCAGTATGGCAGTGATGCACCTGTTTAGCGCCCCTCCTCCACACTTCCTTCTGGTAGACGTGGGACACAGATTTAGAATGATAATTGCAGCTAAAAGAAAGTTTGACTTAAAAAACTTAGTTTTGACTTACCTGCCAAGCGAACAACTTTGCTTTCATCGGGGTGGAGCCGCCGTTTCCTGATAAGCCCAATTCGCTAATGCTACCATAACTGCCACTGGGGTGGAGGCCTGAGGGCAAAATGAGTTGTTTTGAAAGATATAAGAGGGTGCTATCCGGTGGAGTAACTTGGTAAAGTCGGCTTTGGACATGCGTGCCTAACGCAAAAGCGAAACAAAGATGATGAGTCTAATATCTGAGGGACAAATGAAAAACTTTGAGCTTACCACAGCTAGCCAAGTTCGATTGGTCTCATCAAACCACGCTTGAAAAGTTGCAGCCTTTGAGCTACCCCGAGGCCTACGATATCTAGGAAGAAGGTACCTTCTTGATTGGGCTTGATCTCGTGCTAACAAGAGAGCTGAGAGAATTGTTTCATCCTCATCTCGCTTTTGCTTCCGTTGATCCAGGTAGGAACTCTGGTGAAAGGTAGACACCATCAAGATTGTGAAAGTGAACATGATGATGCGTTCTTGATGTCCAAGATGTTGGTCTTCATCTGATTGATCACCATTGACGGAATTCATTGAGGATACCAGGAGTAAACAAGCAATCAAGTTTGGAATAAAAGTTGATGAAGTTGATGAAGTTGGGCTTGTGGTAGATTGAAAAAGAGAGAAAACTGATATAAAGGTGTCAAGTGATGACAGGATATGCCTGCGGACTGAGAGTCTAGGCATTTTCAAGGAGTTGAGAGTCTGGATGGGTGGGTGGGGCTCTCAAACATCTCTATGGCTACCCAATTAAAAAACCCGTCCAAAAAATATTGAAAATCAAATGGGTCGGGACGGGTTTTTCATTTGGGTTTTGATACGGGTTTTTAATGTTTGTGTACCCCTATTACAACCCATTTGAAAAACCCATTTGAGAAAAAATAGAAAAACCCATTTAAAAAATCATTTTTTTGAACAGAAAAATAAATTGGGTCCCTCTGGAATTTTCTGTTCAAAAAAATATTTTTTTGAATGGGTTTTTATATTTTTTCTTAAATGGGTTTTTCAAATGGGTTGTAATGTTTGTGTACCCTTATTGTATATACACACAAAAGCAAAAAATTAAAACCTCATCATGAATTTGGAAAATTAACTTGAAGATCCTTAACAGCAAAAAAAAGAAAAAAGATAATTATAAAAGTTTTTTTTTGTTTTTTCTTTCTTTATGTTTACTCCTTCAAAACTTTATAAATAAAATCTTTGGAAATATATATCTGGAAAATTATCATTAAATTCATCAAAACAGAGAAACCTCAAAAAGAAAAAACCTCAAAAGAAAAAACCTAAAAAAGAAAAAACCTAAAAAACTTCTCTACCAAAAAGAAACAAACCAAACCAAACCAAAAAAAAAACATAAGAAAAAACACACACACACATCAAAAAAAAAATTAAAAAACAAAAAACCCCATTTTTTTAATTAATAAGGAAAAAGACAATATCACAACAGATGTTCAATCAAAAAAAAAAAGAAAGAACAAAGTCAAAGTAAGAAAAAAAAATGGAAAAAGTATAAAAAAAAAGTAAAGTAAAAAAATGGAAAAAGTAAAAAAAAGTTAAAAAGAAAAAGATATTGTCAGTCTTATTTCATTTGTTCAATCTGTTTATACCATATCAATCTGTATATCTATATAAATCCATGTCTGTATATATCAGTTAGATAAGATATATATATATCTGTGTGTATGTGTGTTTGATAATTGTATGAAATTGTATGATATAATTTATAAGAAAAAAAATCATTTAAAAAGAAATCTCAAAATCTAAAAAAGAAAAATATTCCAATTTCAAACGAAACGAAACGAAACGAAACGAAAAAGAAAAAAACCCTCCGCTATTTGATCTATAAATCATTAAGAAGAAGAAGAAGAAGAATAAAAAACCCCCCCACACACCCACACATACACACACACACACACACACACATATACTTCAAAAGATTAAAGAATCACACATCTCTTTTTCTTTTCCCTTGGTTTTTTCCTTTCACCTTCTCTCTGTGCCATAATAGCTCTAAAAAGAATGCACAAAAAAGGAAAAAAGTCAATCAAGATGAAGATCCTTTGAAAAAAAAAAAGAGTCAAGCTTTAATTTTTTTTTTCTTTTCCCAATCCACAAACTCACCTAATCAAATTAAAATAAGCCGATTCCACATTCAATCTAGTCTTAGCACTCGTTTCCAAAAAATCACAACCCATCTTTCTAGCACAAGCAATTCCTTCATCTTTTCCTACTTCTCTTTCATTAGCTTTATCTGCTTTATTACCTACTAAGATGATTGGCATCGATTCAGAATCTTTGACTCTTAAGATTTGAGATCGAAACCTTTCTATTCTTTCAAAGGTCGCTCTGGCTGTGATCGAATAGACTAATACGAATCCTTCTCCTTCACTATTGATTCGGGTTGAAGAGATTTGAGAGACTTAGGGTTTTTCCTGGATGGCTTTCTGGGTCAGAGGTTGAGAGAGGGATGTGCTTACCGGATCCATTGATCTCTGAGTGCAGTGTATTCCTCTGAAATGAAGATGATCAATGTTAGTGATCGTGATCGATGAGATGAGATGAGATGATAGAGTTTCGATTCCGGATCACTAACCCTGTCCAGCGGTATCAAGGATTTCAAGTATACAAGGTTGATCATCAATCACTACATGTTTCCTATAAGAATCTTCAATCGTTGGATCATAACCATCTAAGATAAATAAAGCATTCCAATTCAAATAAAACACCATCATCAATCAGAAGATATCACTGATGATTCTTTTCAATTGATCAAGTTGAAATGATGACTAACCCATGAATTTGTTCATACAAAGTTGAATGATTAATGTTGTTTTACCCACACCACCATCACCAAGTAAGACGATCTGTAAGGATCACATCGCCATCAGATTGAAGTCATCGTTTGATTTAGATTTAGGTTTAGATGGATCTTAGTCAGACTTCAGTCCTTCAAGTTGATTTGAATGATTGATAAATTCATGTAGTATAAATTCTTACCTCACCTTATACATCATCATACTGTTTGACATCTTGTTTCAAACTGATCTATTGTTTGGTTTTTTTCGTTATCTTTCTGAATTTCTAATTCCTTTGATCTTTCTTTCTTTCTTTCTGATGATTATGATGATGTAGTATTCTTTAAATTCGGTTGATGATAAATTGATTTCCAATTAACTTTATCCAGTTGCTCTTTTCAATAGGTTTTCTTTGATCTGATATCTATTTTAGATTTCTGATATTCTTCAAGTTCAATCTTGATGTTGGTCTTGATAGGTAGATGGTTTAGTTGAAGATTCCTTATCGTTTTCGAAAGCTTTGATAGATGTAGTGAATGGTGAAATTGAATGAAGTTGATCACAATGAAAATCAGTTCAAAAGTTAAGATTGATGACTAATCGATTGATGGATTTGAAGTCTTGAGATCTGTATCTTGTTGTTCTGTTGTTTGTATGTGTAATTGATCAGAAGAACTGATTTGATTTGATTTGATTTGATTTGATTTGATTTGATTTGATTTGATTTGATTTGATTTGATTTGATGATGAAGTTGAGTTTGATTTGATGATGAAGTTGAGTTTGATTCTTGATTTGGTATTTTTGTTTTTGGTTTTTGTTGAAGAGTCAAGTTCAGCTAGCCTACACTGGATTAAAAGATTCCAAAAAGAACTTTCTCTTTTAAAAACTTCAAGGTATGTAGGTACCAAAATTTCAAAAATTAAACTTTCTTCCGCCTCATCCCCCAAATAAAAAAAAGTAAATTATCTATTCAAATTCAAACTCTGATATCCAAACAAATCCAAATCATCACAAAATACATTTTCATCTTTCATCTTTCAATCCAATCCAATCAATTCACGATTATGTAAGTAAGTACCATGTTTCATCAAATCATCTTCAAGTTTCTTCATCTCACTTTGATTCACTCCAATCAGTTTATGTAACTTTCAACCACTTCTAATTTCTAATCCAATGCATCTCTCAAGTACATAATCAACCCAACCCTCAATCTCACATTCATTTCGATATCCCTTCCTCCAAGCTATCCCCGCTCAACACGCGGAATACCATAGATATGTTTTACGTAAGTTGATATGGTCGAGAATTCAGTCATCAGAACCTGTCTGAGCTAATCCGAACTCAACACACTTTTCCGCGAATCTAATTACATATGAAGGTATTCTTTGGCATGAATCTGTCAATAAGTATATGCATAAACTATTCTTCAGCTCATGATGTATCACTCCTGGATTGATGTTGTGGTACTATATAGTAGCACATGGTCAATTAGATCCTCAGGAGACGTTTGTCTACAAAATCTAATCATCATGATCATTTTAAGAGATTCATGAATCAAAACTCACAGTCACAGATAACCCAAGAGAAAGGTTTCTTACGTTTCCCCTAAATAAAACAAAACATAACATCAGAAGATGATTGTTCTCATAGAGATGTGAAAGTACTACTACCCCATTACTGGTATCGTGATTGATTCGATAAGTCTGTCTGATCCTGATCAATATGTCTCATAAATCGACATCTATCTATCTTGAAGACCGGCACTATAAGCCAATGCATAAGAAAGAGACCTCAACTAAGATATCTTGGTCTCTCGTCGTGATGGATCTAAGACGTGCTGAAATTCAGATCACAGATCATAAGATTCTACAGATCCTTTACATTCTTGTAAATGCAGATTTCTTAGTAATGATATGCATGAAAAGTAGACATAGGATTTCGATGAGTTTGGTTTGATGAGCCCTTCAAATCAGGAATCGGCTTGATGGTAAACTTCAGATCTCAAGTTGGTCATAGATCAAATCAAAAACCAGAGCTTGGAGTTGATTAAGGAGCTCTCGATGATTCTGTCAAGATCGGATCGCTAAAAGTCGTTTGAGAATCACGAGACTTGAAGCTGGATTGGATTCTGATCCACTCATCTCCATGTGAAGTGATGATCTTTAACCCTAATCAACATCAGTCTTTGCTACACCACGGGGCGGGTGGCATGTGACGCTCACGTGAATTTTGACCCTGCATGCTGTCTACATTGTCATACCCAATGTGAGTTACACGTGCCAGCCAGTGTGAGCATCACCCAATCTAACCCCTTATCATAACAAGGTGAGCATCTCACATCATGACAAGGTGGAATAACTCACACATTGACAAGGTGAGTTATCTGAAATGACAACAGTGCAGGCTTGATCACCAATGACAGGTTGAGTGATTGCCCTCAGTGCTCATTCACCTTATTTGTTCTTAATAGCCAGCCCACTTAAATTGGGATGGGCTGTTTTTTTGCTGACAGAATTGTGCATAACAGAATTCATCTACTATTTGCATTGGCGAATACTCTTCAATACTACATAAATATATCAAGCTAATACAAAAAATAAGATTGGAAGAGTAGAGCCGAAAAATAGAGACAGAAAGACTCAAATAAAATAAAATAGACCTGAAGGTGATGTAGATCTTCGTATCAAAGGAAATGATGATGTAGATATGACTGAACGTGAGGCATGAAGCCAAATAGATGTATGTATTACTTACCTAATACATACAGGTGATCGAGCCAGTGATCGAGCAATCTGTGGACAAGGGAGAGTCGGATAAAAAGGAAGATTTAGATAAAAAGTAGTTACAAGAAATCAGTAAACTTGAATCATGAAGTTAAGATGTTTGAGAAAAAGAACATCTCACTTGATCTATTAAGTTTTTGTAGATTGTTACTTTGAAAGAAATGAGCTTGTCTCGAGTGTATCTGTTTTGTTGAATGATTTTATTTGTTTTACTATAGCTGATCTTACTGATTCTCCTGATCCGATAGAAATGAAAAAGATTGGTCAAGGTTGATTAGTTCATTTGGTTTTGAATTGAGTGATTGTTTATTGAACTTCAGACAAATTGGATTTGAAGTAGCATGATGAAGTTTGATTGTTTTATAAGTTCTTTTGAAATTCATACTTCCATTCTGCTCGATCTATTCTTCATGATTTTCATTTTGATTTTGTAAGAGATGATTCAATGGATAGAGATAAAGCAGAACAAACAAACCTGATAAAAAGAACTTTTGAACTGTTGCATCTTCTTCTAAAGGTGGAGTACAGAGTAATTGGACACAGGATAGTTTCAAAGCTGTCAATCCGTGGATCATCAAAATACAATGTCATGAGCACAAAGAACAAAATAGGAAGGACCGAGCATGATCAAATCAAAATGAGTCTTTGGAGAAGAGAAAAAGAGGGAAACTTACAATGATATAAGTGAATTGATATTGTTGAAGGAGAATAAAGGGCATCAATGAATATGATAGCATCAAAAGAAAATCAAACAGAAAAGATTGATGTGAAGGACAGATAAACTTACCATGATGTTATCCAGTTTGTTCTTGCAATCTATTACATTGATGTGATGCAGTTAATGAACCTTGCTATTCAAGATGCGAGAGTGAGATTTCTTGTGATCGATTGAAGTGGTGACGTTTGAGGGGGTTGTGTGCGGAACAACTTAGACGGACAACGGTGGTCAATGGAATTTGGAGAAGTACTTAAAAACCGGTGACGTCACTGTCCCTAACAAAAAATAAAAAAATTAAAGAAATAAAAAAAATAAAAAAAATAAAA